GTGACTGTCTTGTGATGTTTCCGTTGGGCTTTCTTAAGGTGTGTCCCATCCATCGCCACTTTCTTAGTCCTATTTCTACTTTTATATCCTTTTGTCCTGTCCTTTCCCACAGCTCTTCATTTCTAATTCTATCCTGCCACTTAATTCTTAAAATACTCCTCATACATCTGTTGATGAAAGTCTGGACTTTATTCAGTACTGTCTTTGTTGTCTTCCAAGTTTCGTGGCCATAGAGGAACTCAGACTTGACAAATGAGTCGAATCTTGGTGCGCAGTTAGATGTTGCTTGCCTTCCAGACTTTTGATAACTGATTGAATGCTGACCTTGCCTTGTCGGTTCTTGCTTTAATGTCTGCCTCGGTTCCATCTTTACCATCGATGACACTTCCAAGGTAGATAAAGGAATCCACTGCTTCCAGGGGAGTGTCTTCCACTGTCACAGCAGGGCATGAAACTTTTCCTAGCTTCACTACTTTCGACTTGCCCGGGTGTATACGTAGGCCAACACTCCTTGATAGGCTGTTGAGTTCCTTGGTCTTTTCTTGCCTCTGAGCATGTGTGTGAGGGAGCAGTGCAAGGTCATCTGCGAAGTCCAAGTCGTCCAGCTGCTGCCAAGGGATCCACTGTATTCCATTACGCTTGCCTCTGATGGCTTCTTTCATGACCCAGTCAATTGCCAGTATGAAGAGAAAAGGTGAGAGAAAGCATCCTTGTCGCACTCCTGTCTGTACCTGGAATGGTTCTGAGAGTTGTCCTTCGTCGAAGACTTTGCAGTTTGTTCCATTATAGGTGGCCTTCACAAGGTTGACGATTTTGTCAGGTATTCCAAAATGCCGCATGAGTTTCCACAAAGTTTCCCTGTCCACGCTGTCAAACGCCTTTTCATAATCAATGAAGTTGACCACGAGTGAGGAATTCCGTTCAAGTAATTGCTCAACAATGATGCGTAGAGTAGCAATCTGGTCCACACATGATCTGTTTTTACGGAATCCTGCCTGGTTTCCTCGGAGTTTCTCGTCTGTTGCCAGCTTGACTCTCTCCAGGAGTATCCTGTTAAGAACTTTCCCAGGTATGGACAGGAGTGTAATGCCTATGTAGTTGTTACAATTGCTGAGGTCTCCCTTCTTTGGCTGCTTGACTAGGTGGCCTACCTTCCAGCTGTAAATATCGATAGATGTAGATTTCGGAGATCCTGCAGATTCTAAAACATTGTAGTAGCTACTAAGCCTTTAGTCCACTTGGTCACTTTCCAATTAAGCACCACCTTGTCTGCAACCCACGCGACACCACTGACACACACACACACACACACACACACACACACACACACACACACACACACA